TTCTGGTATTAAAGTAAATTTATGATGCTTAGGTGACAAAAGAAAAATAATCATTTATAAGCTTATTCTCAAAAACAGCCATTACAATATTACAAATATTAAACCATCAGTAAGGCTCAGTAGGTGATATCTTACCCAAGTTAGTGGCCAGTTCAAAAATATAAGTTTTATACTATTACCCACAAGTATGTAATTCCTTTAGTATAAATATCAAGATGGAAGAAAAAAAAAAGACAATACTTTGGATAGTCTCCTGCTATTTTCCAAGCTTGAAACTACTCTAAATTAAACAGCATCTTTGAAGTCAACAAGGATATTACCTTAATCAATTATGATTTCTGTGACTATTACATCTAGCATTTTATGGCATAATGAATTTCTAAATCATCCACTGGCGATAAAAATTAAGTATGTACTGAAGTAATTTACCATGCAATAAAGAAATGTTTCACAATATGGATTCATATCAATGAGATCACTGATTCACACCAACTGTCATCATTTAAACAGAACCAAATGAAATTTTTTCCAAGACAAAAGTCTTACATTCCCATTTAGGAATAAAAAGTGAAATGAGAACACATTAACACTAAAATGTGTTACACTCACCTAGTTCTTGTGAACTTTGGGAATGGAATGATTTAAAACTATGTGGTTGATGTCCTTCCCTCCTTCACTTGCTTGAGTCTACCAAGTAAGAGGTAACTCCTGAACTAATTTAAATGACCTATAAGGTCTCTTCTTTCTAGGACTATTCAATTTCATTTAGTTATGTAAATCTGAAGAATTTGTGACTTCTGGGAATGTGTTAAATTCAGGTAATTAGGGCATCATTTTTCATTCAAACGATGTCATGAAATTTCTAAAGAGCCCCCAAGCTGCCTGAGGGAGTTAAGGTTACTTAACAGACTCTTAGAGTACTTACTGTATGCAGCATTGTTATAGGTGCTTTATAACTATCACCTCACATAGAATATTTTCAGTATGTTTAGAAACTAACCTCCTATGAAGCTTAATGATATGAACCGGCATTTATCCATGAATAAAAATGAACAACCATGTTTGCTCAGTCTTTGAATTTAAAATGATTCATCTCTAATACTAGACTATCCCATAGAAGCATGAGCCTAGCCATTTAATTCTCCTTGATGAAATGCTTGAATAGCCTTCAGGACCAAGCTCCTCCTCAGCCAAATCAAAAAATTGCAACGGCATCTAGAAACTACATTCCTACCACTATGGTCCCTTAAATCTCAACTGCTTGCATTTAGCAAATTTCCACATGCCTATGCACTTGCTATTCCTTTTTTAATCTGGCCAATCCCTAATTCACTCTCAAAATACAGTTCAGACAGCACCCCCACCCCACCTCCAGAAGGCCCACTCATGGTATTAAGTGTTGGATTTTCCCTGCTTCCCCAACGGTCTGTGATCACTTCCTAACTCAAGTGCAAAGAGTAATTGTTTATCCATACATTCATTTTCCCAGTTGTCTGTGAACTCCTTAAAGGTTACAACTTGTCTTTTATCTCTAAATCGAATAGTCTTACATTTAAAAAAAAAAAATGTTAAATAACACCCACGTAAATAAATTCCTTTTAAATAAATTAAGTCAACAAATGTGTATATATATATATATATATATATATATAAACATATGCATGTCTTATAAGCTCACAGGAAAAAAATCAAATTTTATTTCTGAAATATAAAGGGAGCTGCTAAAAAAATCTCTAGGTACCTAAAATGCCCAAAGTTTTATACATTTAATTACAAAAAATAATGATAATAATAGCAAGGGTCATATAAAATCAACACAATTTTCAGGTCAAATTATAGCTCTCTGGAAATCAAACATGCCTGAATGGCAAAAAAATAAAACCCTTAGATTCTTTACTGTAGGAAACACTGGTTTATGGGGACCAGGTCTTTGGAATTCTAACTGCCAGTTTTCTGTGATGTCCAGCTGCCCAGTAAACCACACTGACTCTCCAGGTGAGGCTGACATCAAGACGTACTAATGTTTCTTTGCACAGCAGTGATAATTCCTTGCTGTAATTACTTAGATAACAACACAGCAGCATTACTTCTGCTTCTGACCTGAATTAATAATCTATTCTGTTTAACCTAAGTTCTACCAATTCACTCATGTCTCAGCAAGCACTGGAGTTACTCGTCTCAGTTATGAGATTTATTCCTGAAGAGCCTAAGGTATCTTCTGCCCCAAGTGGAAAGGCCTAAGTATCAAAACACTGAAGTAGTACTTTGTAAACAGTGAGGAAAGAAAGAGGAATAAATAGCCTGTTTTTCCAAAGTCGTGGTTTTTTTCACCAACACAGAGAAGGAAGCAGACACTAAATAATCAGCCTGAGGCAGAGGCTCTGAGTTCCTAAGTTTGATCCTGTGGTTTCCTTTTTCCTACATCTTCACTTCTTTCTCCCAGAAAGTCTCTGTGACTTCTTTTAAAGCACTGTCAACATCAGCAAAATCCAGACTATGGAAAACTGTATAATTGGATAAAAGACTTCTGTCTTAATGAATAAATTACAAGGAAAAGAACAAAAATTTTTTTAAAAGACATGGATGGAAGCAACTATACATTAAAAGAGACTTAAATAAGACTTAAATAAACAAACAAATTGCAGTCTACAGGTTTATCTGAGTTTGGGCTAAAAGAAGAAAAGGAAAAACAATTATATATGTAAAATATAAACACACATACATACATATGATATTTCTGAGACAAATGAAAGTTGTTCTAAAAAGACTGGTTACTTCATAGAATTAAAGAAGTATTCTTTAAGGCCTTCTCCACAGGAGGAAATATGTGCCTGGTACTGTAAATCTGACCAAGGATCCATGGTTGGGAGTTCACATACCACAGGTGTGAATCTATGACTATTACTCTGCTAAATAGACATAATATCAATTGCCCTGTAAATTCCTATTTCTCCACCCATAAATTAGTGCAGGTCTTGCACCTCATGAGAGAAGTTTCTTTCTGCAGCAGACACTAGTGGTTAACATAGAAACTCAAAACTGATCAATGTGGAGAGATTATGTGTCAGTAGTGCTTAGCCACAAATGCAACACCCATATCCTCCCTCTCCAAGGCTCAGGAACCACTGTAGAAAAGGGGCAAAAAGCTATTAAGAGCCAGAAGTCAGAGAGAACTGGAACAAAACAGTGTCTTCTGACATGACAGGACTGGTGCATGCATGAATTCATAGCAGCTGTGGTTGCCTGCATAAGACCTGCACAAGATCAAGCTAGTGAACGTTCTGGCATGGATGGGAGGGGCTCATAAGCCCCCACCCCTAACTGAGGAGCTATAGAGAACTGGTACCTTCTGGCAGAGGGAGAAAGAGTTTTAAGGATGTGGTTCCTGGTAGGTCAGACACACTCCATGGATGGCAACATATCCAGGAGTATATGGGCAACACAAATTGGACTCAATTATTTGAAGGGAAAAAAAAAAGGACACAAAATTGGGAGGGGTGGATGGTGGGAGGAATTAGGGATATATGAAATTCTCAAAGAATTAATAAAACTATGTAAGGAATTATTCTTATTAATATGATAATACTTTAAGATAATCCTTACTTTTCAGAGTTACATTATTGAAATTTTTAATAAACAAAATACTATTTGCTTCAATGTGATAGGCTGAGGGAAGAAAATCATTAGGGTGCAGATAAAGTAAGACAAGCTATGTTATTAATCTCTGAAGCTGGGGTTCATTATATCATTCTGCCTGTGTGTCTGCATTTTTAAAATCAAGGGCTACAAATGAGCATGAGAGTATTCTGTCACGGAAATAATCCTAGCTAACTGAAAAATAACACAGAGATCCTCTACTTCTGCAGTTTTTCCATGGAAGGTCAAAATGAAAAAGGGAACTAGGCAGTTACCCAACATTAATTCAAATAACAAAATCCTTCATTAAACCTTGGCATATTAGGTTTTCTACTACAATAATTTAACTTTGATAGATACTACAGTAGCCCTAAATTTCCTACATATGTTAACAAAGTTTTAATGGAACCAAGTATTTGGCTATAAATACAGATTTAAATATTTCCTTTTCTCTATCTGTCCACACACATGAATAGCTTATTATACTATCACATCACATTTATCTTAAATTATTTTTGAATATATTTATGCATGTGAAAATGTTCAGCTTGTCTTTGCTTCAGTACAGTCTACAAAAATTTTCAACTACATAAATTTCAGATGTTCTTACAGATGGCTGAACTGCCTATCAGATTGATGCATACAAAAAAATTTTTAAAAATTTACGTAGTCCCAAAAGTACATAAAATTAGCAACTTCAAAATAATTCTCAAACATATCTGGGAATATGTGTTTTTGACTGATATTGATCTAAATACAGGTAGAGCAATAAATTAGATTTTTAAAAACAATTTATAAGTAACCAATACACAATATTGCCCTAATTACAACTGTGAAAAAGGTAAGGAAGTCCCCCTTTGTGGAAGTTAGATGTGAATGGGCAAACGTTTTGTGTTCACAAATCTAAGTGAGCAGGGAATTTTGAAATTCAGTTTTAGTTCGGGTTTCTTAGGAACCCCGAGTTTTCTTCCCTTCTTTCTACAGCACAAATTTTGGGTTATAAAGCCTTCTCTCAGGATTAAAACAACAACGATGATGATGCAAATTGTGCCCAAATACAATCTTCTTCCCCGGTGCACCTCTTTTGCTGGAGCAAGGGCAGAGGGTCTCGGCCTCCCACCCCTTCGCTCAGGTTACAGAGCTGCTAGAAGCATCCCTCCCACACAAACTCCCCTTCAGCAAAATCCTCCGTCTGTGCTTCTTTGGGTTCTTTTTTTTGTTTTTGTCTCCTTTTTTGCACGGGGAGCATCAAGCATGAGTCGCATTAGGACAGTGCTCATCTCACCACGTCTCCAGGGCAATCCTGAGCAAACGTGGGGTCCCAGGGCTACCCGGAGTACCACCTTCCGCACCGCGCCGCTCACCTGTCGGTCGCCAGGGTCGCCCCGCACCCGTGTGTTGAGCTTGTAGTGCCGAGTTTGGTCTTCGCCACCCGAGCGGTAGATGAGGCGCAGTGGCACGATGCTCTGGCGCTCCAGGAAGCGGTTTTCCTCGCCCCTCTCCAGTTCTGCCAGTGAGGCGTCTCCTTGCGGGCAGGAAGGAGAGCAGGAGGGAGTGGAGAGAAAAGGCAGAAATAATGACCCTGACCCACTCCTCCAACCTATGGTCCTGTATCTCCCCAAGGAAAATTCCCGACCTCCTCCCTCTAGGACCCCATCTGGGAAGGATGCACACACCAGCTGGAGAGCTGTGGTCCAGCTCATCTGAAAGCATCCAGGATCGGGCCCAGAAACACGGCACCCCTTTTCCTATCCTCATTCCTCTTCAGAAGAAAACAACCATTTGCCCCAAGGCTGTTAATACACCCTCAAACATTAACAGATGCTTCTTTTCTCATCGCCCTTCAAAAAAAAAAAAAAAAAAAAAAAAATAAAAAAAAAAAAAAAAAAAAAAAAAGACCTACCGCCCGCTTGGAAATAGGGATGCGGCTTTTGCAGAGGGCTCCAAGGAGCCCTGGAAAATGGTTCATCCCGAAGCCACGGCGGCCGGGAACTTACCTGCCTGGCCGCAGCGCGCTGGGGGGCAGGTCCCCAGGGCGCAGAGCAGCCCAAAGGACACGGCCAGCGCTGCCTGCATGGTGGCAGCGCTCAGCTCCTCATGCCGCTGCCGCGGGCTCCCCGCGCCCTGCGCTCCGCTCCCCGCCGCCCCCTCCCAGTCCGCGCCGCTGCCGCAGCTGCAGCCAAGCTGCAGCCTCCGCCGCCGCTGCCTCAGTGCTGCATTGTGCCTCGAGGGCGCTTCCGCTGGCGGGGGGAGCGAGCGAGTGCTGCATTGGGCGGTAGGCTGTAGCTAAGTGGCTTCTAGCGCCTCCCACCTCACGCCCGGGCACAGGCTCCGGCGGGCGGCGAGCGCTCGGCGGGGAGCGAGCGCCGGTGCGGAGAGAGCGCCGCAGCCCTGGACCCCGCGCTCCGCTGGGGCGCGCAGGAGAGTCGGCTGGGAAATGTAGTTCCCTCTCCGCATCCTGCTGGTTGTTACGACCATGCCAGACGGCCGCAACCTGGAGATCTCGAGGTCCTCCGCGTTTTGCAGACCTGAGGGAGGAAAAGCGCGCGTAAGAGGTCACTGCGGGCGGGTCTCCTGGCACCCCACCCGAGGCATCTGCACCATGCGGCAGCCGGCGTTCATCCACTTTGCCCGCAAGAGCTGTAGTGTTGCCTGAGTTAGTACTTACCCGAGAGCATTGTCCCGAGTACGTGCCAAGTAAATCAGTCGACAAAGACGGATTGAGGATGTATTGAGGACCTACTGTGTGCCAGGTAGTTGACAACCGTAAAGGACCTGAGTGTGAGACACCTATTCTCAGATGCAATTAAGAAAGCGACTTTTTTGGTAAGAATTTAACCAAGCCACTTTTTAAAAGCAGCTGTTCATTTCATTTTCTTTTCAATAAAGCGTGGGAAATGTGCCGGTAATAATACCTAGATGGGAGTGGTTAACTTAACCCAAGAGAATCAGAGGAAACCTCCCAAAGGTCTAGGCGGATTCTTGAGTGTGATTCGGCCCGGTTCTCCAGGTTGTGTCTTCTCTAATAATCAGCCAGCCTTGAACCTGTGCTGGAAAAACAGGAACTGTATTTTCTCAGGCTGCTTATCCTATCCCCCCCCCCATTACAAACATTGAAAACCCATGAGGATAAAAATAGCAAAAACATAATTGTTAACATAATTAACACTTGTGCATTACAGATTTTGAAATTCACATACACTGTCATTTGATCCTTGGATCAAAAATTTGGTCAGGAGACTAGAGAGATTGCTCAGTGGTTAAGAGCACTGGCTGCTCCTGCAGAGGACTGGGGTTCAGTTCCCAGCATCCACGTGGTGGCTAACAACCATAGATAACTACGGTTCTAGGAGATCCAAAGCCCTCTTTTGACTTCCGTGGGCATTGCACAACATGGGTGCATATATGCATGCAGGCAATACACTCATACACATAAAGTAAAAATAATGAATAAAGTATTTTTCAAAAATTTGAGAAGAGAAAATTCGGAACTAGAGCTGTATTTTCCATACCACTAGTCACATGGGGCTTCTTAACTTCAAATAAAATTTAATATTCAATTCCTCAGTCACAATCTCCATATTTCATGCTCTGAACTCATGACTAGTGATTTCTGTATTGGACAGCAAGCATATACGATGTTTCCAAGGTCCCATGCTGTGGCTAGTCATAAGGCTGACCAGGGCCTGTGTGTCTTGCTTGCAGGTTTTAGTCTTTTCCTACATCTCCTTGGTGGAAAACTGTGTTTGGGAAACCTTGACTTTGATTCTGGTTCTATAGAACATACAGAAAAGCAGAATCCTCTGAGACTTTTTGCATGCTCATTTCTCTTTCCCTAGAAGAAGCTGGGAGGTGTTACTGTTTTGTTTTTAATCTCTTCCTCATGTGGTATGGACTTAGGTTCCTTCACCTGAAAATATGCTCCAGTAGGTCATGCCCTACCTAAAGTGTGTTATCCAGAGTTTATTACAATATAGGCTTGGTTTTATAAGCAATAATACAAAAGCAATCTCTCTTTTTTGTTGTTCTAAACTAAAGAATATTCTATCATATTTTGGAAACTACAAGTCATGAAGCTTATTAGCATTTAAAGAAATTTAAAGTCTTCAAATCAGTGAGATATTTAAGAATTTTATGTGGCCTGCAGTTGCCTGTAGCTTGAATAAGATTTCAGTTCTACCATTAGACCCTATTACAGGATATCCCCTTGTGGCTACAGTAGAAGAGAATTGGAGCCTAAGGACATAAGAAGTTATTCCTTTTCCTCACCTACACCATGGGCCCAAATTCCTAACCCAGTTCTCTTGGTTGAAAGAATAAGTTATGTAAGTTTTAAAATCATTACATTAATGTAAATATAGAGCAATTTTTCATTTTTAGGATGTTTGGACTATTTTAAATAATTTCAAATGCTAAACATATCAGCTTCATGTAATAAAAATTTAAATAGCTTTTTTAAAAGTTTGTCTTAACTTGTGCTGATACAAGAAAAATAGCACAGACTGGGTAACTTAAGTAACAAACATTTAGGGAATTGGGTTGTATGTAACTCAGTTTTGAATTTGACTCTTAGAACTGCAAAGCGTAACAAAATACAACAACCCATCAACAAAAATGAAAACATTTCTCACAGGCTAGAGGGGAGAAAATCCAAGAGCAAGGCAGATCCGGTGTCTGGTAAGGGATACTTTCTGGCTTATGGACAGCAGCCTTCTTATCTCTGTACTCTTATGTGATATAGCAGAGCTCTCTTTTCCTTTATTAGGCAGACACTAATTCAGTCATGGCAGTTTCACCCTCATACCCAAGGCCCCATCTTTAAATACCATCACAGTGAGGCATCAGTACATAGATTTTGGAGTGACACATTCGGTCCTTAGCAGAGGTTAAAAGATGCCACTTGTCATATTTGTAGTTCTGAAATGCTAGGTGTATCAGAAAACACTAATAAGTGAGAAATTATTTTTTCATTGCTCATGTATAGTGTTTTTGTATGTGTATGGATATGTGTGTAAGTGCATGTGCACATGTATGTGGAAGCTAGAAGACAACCTTGAGTGTCACCAAGTAACCTGGAGCTCACCAAGTAAATTAGGCTGACTGACTAGCAAACCTCAGAAATCCAACTGTCTCTGCCTCCCCAGAGCTGGAATTACAAGCCTGCTCTGTGCCCATCTTTTTAAACGGATTCTATGGCTCAAACGCAGATGCTCCTGTCTATAAAGCAAGCACCTTGCCAACTAAACTATCTCCCAGACCCTAAGTTATAGTTTACCTTAAAATTTTTATTTGGGGGGGGGGGTCCTGGAGAGAGACGGCTCAGTGGTTAAGAGCACTGGCTGCTCTTGCAGAGGACCCGGGTTCGAGTCCCAGCATCCACATGGAGGCTATGAACCGTCCTTAACTCCAGTTCCAGGGGAATCTGAAGCCCTCTTCTGACCTCCAAAGCATTGCACGACACAGGTGCACTCACATACATGCAGGCAATACGCTCATACACATAAAATAAAAATAATAAATAATTTTCTAAAATTTTTATTTGGTAACATATTGCCAATAACCACATATTCTTAGAAGACAAGTTTCTTCTAGTGCCTTACTTGCCATCACACAAAAAAAGAAAATTTAGAACAATTGAGTTTTTCCAAATAAACCATGAGCTGGGCGTGGTGGCACACACCTTTAATCCCAGCACTTGGGAGGCAGAGGCAAATGGATCTTTGAATTCAACACTAACCTGGTCTACATAGTGAGTTCCAGGTCAGCTGGGGCTACAAGGAGACCTTGTCTCAAAAAGACAGAAAAATAAATAAATAAAATAAACCATGAAACTCAGTTAAGTCAGAGAAATCCTTTTATTTATTATTTTTATGTGTATGAGTGTATTGCTTGCATATATGTAAGTGTACCTGTGTCATGCAATGCCCCCAGAGGTCAGAAGAAGGCATCATAACCCCTGGAACTGGAGTTACACCATGTGGGTGCTGGGAACCAAATCTGAGTCCTCTGCAAGAGAGCCAGTACTCTTAACCACTGAGCCATCTCTCCAGCCCCTTAAGTCAAAGAATTCTTACTCTGTTACAAGGTCCAAGAAACAAATGATTTTTCATACTCTTTCTGTTATTGCTCTTTTTTTTGTGGAAATGACCTTTATAAAATACTCTGGACAAATACTCTGGTTACCTAACCTTGTAACCAAAAAGTTAATCTCAGCTTGTTTATAATGTACACAAGTTCACTGGGCTATGTGCTCCTCTTGTGACTTGGGCATATGACCATGATCCTTCCTTACCCTGGATCCCAAATAATGTATGAATGTACCTGTGCATGTTGACATATCAAGTGCTGCAAACAGCACTTATCTCATTGAAAGCAATGAGAGAAATTGATAACATCTGTTGTGGTTGTGTGCGTGTACTGTTCAAAGTTAGTAGGGGCCAGAAGGAACATAATCCTTTGATAAAGGTTCATTTTTACTTCCCCATTTCATGCTGGACAAATTGTTTCAATAAAAGAAAGAGCTAGCCTTTGTTCTCGAGCACAGTTCCAAGAGAATTCTGGAGAAGTAGCTTCTCAGCAATTTGGACTTAAAATGAATGCTGAGTCAGGCTGTCTTTATTTAAGCATCGCCGTAAGGTGGAATCACATAATAACTGTTATATTTTTGTTTTTGTTTTGCTTGGTTGATTTATTTTGGAAGGACAGGTTCTCTTGTAGATCAGGCTGGCCTCAACTTTGCTATGTAGCCAAAGATGGCCTTGAACTCCTCAGCCTCCTGCCTCAGCATCCCAAGTACTGGACTAAGAGCATACACAACCATGTCTGCCTCTGTTATTTCTCTTTTCCCCCCATTGGTGTATATTCATTGTACATGGATCATGTTACAAAAGGACATTTATATACAAATACTTATGTTCTTCGAGCGTCTATAATATAGTTTCCCCATAGCCTCCACCCTGCGCTTTCATACCCCTCTCCTCTGTCAGTCACCTTTGTTCCCCCTTAGATACTTTCACTTCTGAGACCAAATTCTGTTTTTTGGTTTTTTGTGTGTGGTTTTGTTGTCTCATATTTTTGAGACAGGGTCCCCCTGTACCCCCAACTGGCCTGGAACTCACTATGTAGACCAGGCTGGCCTTGAACTCACAGAGATCCACCTGCTTCTGCCTCCCAAGTGCTGAGATTAAAGGTGTGCACCACCACCCCGGCTCAAGACTGAATTCTTTTAATATGACTGCATCCAGTGGCATCCATTTTCGTGCAAATAACATAACTTTGTTCCTCTTTGTGGCCAAAAAAGCAATTTTACTGTATAAATATATACCACATTTTCTTTATTCATCTGTTGATGGATACCTAGGTTTGATT